TTTTTTCTTATTTAATACATATAATAATTGTTATAAATGTGTATTTTCTTTTATTTTTAAATCTTCATATTTTTTTTCAATTGTATTTTATTTTTTGTATACTATATCTTAAAATAATTATTTTTTAACGATATTCGATTTGATAGCTATAAATTAAAAAATAATTACATATATCATTATAAATAAAACTAATTTATTAAAAAAACAATTTCAAAAATATAAATAAAATATAAATTATTTTATAATAAATATAATAAAAATATATCAGTAATACACCATAAAATAACTATTTTAATGTGCTCTTCATAGATTTTAAATAAAATATGACAATTAAGTACAAAATATGGGTCCCATTTGAATTAATTACTACTTTGTTAGTTATTCATTATTTTTTATATTCATTATACATAATTTTACAATAAAAAAAATAAATTATTTTAATTTTTCTACTATAAAAATATTAATATATTTAAATACCTGTATAATACTCATACATTCATCAATATAATTAGATAATATTAACTAATCATTCTTACACATCAAATCGATTTTAATTAAGTGTTCATTCACTCATTTTAATTAATTAATCTTCATTTCACATTATCTCATACTTTTACATCAATTAAACTTTAATTATTTTATTTTAAATATTAATTTAAAACTCAATATTCTACTAACAACTAATCATATTACATTTTTTTTACATTACAATAATTAACAAATTTTGAGTTGACCTCTACATTAATTATTAATTGAACAAAATGTGTCAGAAAAGAGCAATATTTTTTATTTACGCTCTATAAATAAGGCGTGTGTCACCGTATTTACTCACACGAAATACACACTTCCCAATAAAGTAGTCAACCAAAGATTACTTGAACAAACAAAAAATTACACGCGCGCCCAAATATGGAGCAAAGAGAGGACAACCAGCCAGGAAGCGGCGGCCACCTCAAAACCGCCGTGGCCAAGACTCCTCCGCCGCCGTCCGGCAGCGGTCCCCTGCCGGACACCGCCGAGGAATTCGAGCAAGAGCAAGAGAACTATGTTCAACAGGTCTTTTTGCACCCTGTTATTTTTTTCAACTTATGCATGGATTAAATAATTCGGATTTAATTATTTTTTTTGTTAAATAAAACCATGATTATGGTGCTAATTTAAATTAATCTGATTAATTAATTTAATTAATAATTGGACAGAAACCAGGATGGAGAAGCTTCTTGTCTTATGTTGGCCCAGGATTTTTGGTCTCTTTGGCCTATCTTGACCCTGGAAATTGTAAGTTAATTAATTCATGTTTTTTGCTAATTCAAAAATAAATAAATAAATAATTTAATAAATTATTGTGTTATTTATCACTATTTTTTTATATTTAATTTTGGTGTACAAAAATTTCAGTGGAGACTGATCTGCAAGCTGGAGCAAGTCATGGATACGAAGTAATTGATTTACATTCTTATCCCATTCATTAATTAAATTATATGTTACATGGGAAATGCTACAGAGTCCCGTTACGGAACCATTCCATCGAGATGTGTAACCATTAGATTATTATATAATCATCGTGGATAGCAGATCTAACGATTACAAACTCCGACAGAATGATTCTGTAACTGGAGAGTCTGAATCACCCGTTACATATATTAGTTTATATGTTACATATATTAATGTCAGGTGAGATTTAATATACATAAATATATTATTTATATATATTATTATATGTAAGATTGAAATTTATTTGAATTTACAGTTGCTATGGGTGATCCTTATCGGGTTGATATTTGCGCTGATAATTCAATCTCTAGCAGCGAACCTTGGAGTTAGTACAGGTGTAGTAAATAACTAGTAATTCTCTTTTTATTTTATTTTATTTTATTTTTTTAAATTTTTGCTTTGACTTTTATATATTCTTCTTTTAATCATTTATTTCAAAAAAAAAAAAAATTATATATGTAATTTAATTTAATTTAGTTTTTATTTTTTTGTAGGCAGACATTTATCTGAGCTTTGCAAAGCTGAGTATCCGATCGTTGTAAGATATTGCTTGTGGTTGCTGGCTGAGGTTGCCGTTATAGCCGCTGATATACCTGAAGGTATACCCCCATTACTAGCTAGGACTATTGAACGAAACGAGGTACTCGTAACTCGTGAGCTAGGCTCATCTCGTTTGATAAGCGAGCCAAGTTCGAATTCATATTTAAAGATTGTTGCTCGATAAGACTCGAAAAAGAAATTTTTTGATACAATTTTTTAGAGTTCGGTTCGTTATGGCTCGAGTTCGACTCGAACTCACTTGATTTGTTAATATTGACAACATCCAAATTTTGGGCAGTGATTGGTACAGCATTTGCACTCAATATATTATTTCACATCCCAGTTTGGGTTGGCGTTCTCTGCACTGGTTTTAGCACTCTTATTTTGCTCGGTCTACAGAAATATGGGGTAAGTCATTTTCTTTTTTAATTTCGATTATCAATTTTTTTTTTTTTTTTTTTTTTTT